GGTTTAAGTCGGCCGGAGCCGCCCTGCCCGGAGGGGCTATTTACATGACAGTGGGCCTCACCCCATTCCCTCCCCCAGCCTGTCCCTCGCCCACCCGCCAATCAAGGGCCACCTCTGGTCCTCCCAGCTCCTCCGGGGCCTTCGGCGCTTTTCCTACGGGGCGCGCTCTGCGCCCTCCAGGACCCTCGGGGTCTGGACTGAAACGCCGGCAGCGCACCCCCAGCCCGCTCCGAACCCCCTCCGCGGGCTGTGCTGACCGCTTCTTTTTTTCCCCTTGGGCCTGCAGAAAACTCACATGTGACTGTGCCTGACCTCAGCCTGCAACGTTCTCAGCCCCCGCACCCCCGCCGCCGCCGTGCCCGGCCTGCTGGTTCCCAGCCTCCAGGTCTCAGCTTGGAGGAAGCGATCCTGAAGTAAAGGGCTCCCAGTCGGGAATTACAGAGGAGGAGCAACAGGCAGGTACCCCGGAGCACGGCCTTTCATTCGTCCCGCACTTCAGAGGATAGAAGGGTTAGGAGCTGGAAGAAGCTGCTGAGGGCACCTCCTCTGGGAGCCCCAAGCCCCCAGTGCCTTTGGGCCCGGTGGGGCAGTAACTAGGACTAAGGCAAGCCAGTGGAATCCGCAAAAGCTAGTGGAGGTCAGCCGGCACAGTCACCCTGGAAAACTGTGCCCAGCTCTACCGAAGCGGACCTCCGTGCTGGCTGGCTGTGTCCCCAGCAATTCTGCTCCGGGCTCTGTCCCCCCAACAGAGGTGCATGCCTGTGCACACCGATACATAGTGTGATTAGTGTGCTACACCGATACAGTGTGATTAGTGTGTGCTACAAGGTGTATAGGGACAAGACTGATACAAGCCAAAATCTGGAAACAATACAAATGTGTATCAGTGGTCAAATGGATGCTGTGAGGTTTTGAACTCAGAAGTGAGACAAGTGAGCTGCAGCCACCTGCCCTGTGATGGGAATGCAGCGCAAAATTCACGTTGAGTAGAAGACACAGGACGCAAAAGACGGCAGGCCATGTGGTTTCATTTGTATTAAGTACAAAAACAGGCAAAACTGGCCCATGCTGACCCTGACCGTGTAGCTCAGTTGGTTAGAGCGTTGTCCCCATACAGCAAGGTTTTGGATTCCATTCCCAGTTAGGGCACATGCAAGAATCAACCAATGATGCGTAAATAAGTGGAGCCACAAATCGATGTTTCTCTTCCTCTCTCTAAAATCAATAAGTCTTAGCCCTGGGCGGTGTGGTGTGACTCAGATGGTTGAGTGTTGTCCCATACACCAGACGGTATCAGGTTCGATTCCTGGTCAGGGCATATACACAGGTTTTAGGTTCAATCCCCAGTCAGGAAGCAGTCGATCCAGGTTTCTCTCTCCCTTGCTCTTCCTCTCTCTCTCTCTTTACAAAATAAAAATAAATTTTAAATTAAAATAAAATAAGTCTTTTAAAAAAAGTTTAAACTGGCCTGTGCTGTTAGCTATTAGAAGTCCTGGGTGTGGTTACCCTTGCTTTGGAGCAGGATGGCACTGAAAGAGGGCGTGCACCTGCAGCCTCAGGAGCCCTGGTGACGCTCCGTTTATGGATCTGGGGCTTGCTCTACCTGTGTGATTTGTAAATCCCATGTTGCCAGATATTTTCTTTTTTCTAAAGAGAAGTCAGCGATATACATTTTTATGTGAAATCTCTGGATTTTTAAAAGTTAGCAATAATTGCCCTGGCCAGATAGCTCAGTTGGTTAGAACATTGTCCCGATATGCCAAGGTTGCTGGTACGATCTCCGGTCAGGGCACATACAGGGATCAATCAATGATGCATAAATAAGTGGAACAGCAAATTGATGTTTCTCCCTCTCTCAAATCAAATAAAAATAAAACTTTGTGAATTAAATGAAATATGTGGTCGGGCCACTTTCTGCCAATGGGCCATGAGTTTGCAACATCTGGGATAGTCCAGTGATTCCC